ATTTTTGGGGTTTCGTTCCTTAATCCAAACTTGGAGTTCTGGGGACAACATTCGGAAATACTGTTCAAGAATTATGACGTCATTTATCTCTTCAACAGTCTTACCTCGGGGTTGAACCCATTTGCCATACAGTTCTTTAAGTCTCACATAAAGTTCCTTGGGAGACTCATTCGGTTCCACATGACGAGAACGGAACCTCTGACGATAAGTCTCGCTGTTAATTTCATATTTCTGTAAAATAGCAGCTTTAACATTATCATAGTTCATCGATTCCTCCATATCCATATGTACATATGCACTCCTGGCTTTACCAGTCAATAGTGGAATCAATTGAAATGCCCAGTCACTTTTTGGCCATCTGCAAACACATGCTATCCTCTCAAAAGTTATGAGGAAATGCTCAATATCATCCTCCTCACTTAGCTTTTGCAGTTTTGGTTCTTTATAGAAATGTGTAGAAATTGAATCACCTGATTTAACAGCCAACAGAGCAGGTTCGGAAAGTAAACTATCCACATCAGGCTTCAATCCAACAGATGAGGAGGCGTGGTCTTGCACAATAGGCTTCAGGCCTGCAGAAGACTGGGCCTGAAACTCCTCTTGAAATAAACTGAACTGGTGTTGGAGAGCCTTAAACCTGTAATCCTGACGTGACATTTCTTGCTCCCACTGTGCCTCTCGATCTTTTTGCTGCCCAATGTAGGCCTGCAGGATTCCTGCCAAGTCAGATATGGTTGGCTCTTTCCCTTCTTCATCCACTTCCTCCTCTTCACAAACTGCACCACACCCTTCATGCTCTGTTTGCGCTTCTTTGTCTGATGGAGCTGCCTTGGTTTTACCACCTCCACCTCTGGCTCCTCTCATGGTTTAGGGTTTTTTTAGTTTCCAAAAAAAAAGAAAAAATTAAGAAATATACCTTTGTCCTTAACTGGAGGATCCCACTTCTGACACCAACTGTGATGGTCCGACCAGCAAACTCAAGGACAAAGGCATAAAAAAATAACTATTTAATTTTTCAAAGAGTTAAAGATTTTTTTACAACAAATTTCAAAAAGAAATATAAGAAAAATGGGCCCAAAAAATAATCAACTAAAGCATACCAACTCAAACAAAACTAACTGACTCTTCTCAATGAACACACAGGGGAATTTATATACAAAGGCTAGCCTACACACACACACAAGGAGGGGTGGGGGAACAAACAAAACAACCATACATAAACATAAATAAATTCAAATCACAACATTTTACTTTAACACAACTATAAAACAAAACAACCTAACACCATAAATATTATAACAATAGAGTGAGAGGAAGATGTCAATAGGGCGAGAGAGGAGTCTTCCACATCAAATTCCCTGCTTCCCGCAGCCTGATGGTTGGTTCCAATTACTGGTTTGAGACAATCAACTCCTCCCAGCCAGTCCTTCAACTCAACCAAAAACAAAATTAATATTCTAAATAAACCAAGCGTTTACTAAAATGTGTGCACCCAATCTAGTAAACAACTTAATACCAAAACCCACCAAAGAAAAAGTGATATAACCAATATAAATATTATCAATATAAAACATTAACTAAATACTAACACTAAAGAAAAGAACACTTAAACTGAGAAGATGGAGGAACCTCCACAGACCTGATCCAAGTCACTCATTTCAACGCTCTTCAAACTCTGGTTTTCATTTTCAATAAATATTTTCCAGCACAAGTAGTTTTTATAAAATTGAGAAAATTCAAAGAGCAATGAAGGAGCAAAAAAAAGGTATTTTGGTTATAAAGGAAAGCTTTCATTATTACACATTATTTTTTTTTTGTCTTAAGGAGAAATACATTTATACATCAAAAAACATTTGACTTAGTAAATCTTCTAGCTGTGCTTAAATATATATATATATATATATATATTCATATATATATATATATATATATATATATATATTATATATATATATATATATATATATATATATTCATATATATATATATATATATATATATATATATATATATATATATATATATATATATATATATATATATATATATATATCTTGTTCTCACTGAAGACTCTTGGTTTCTTAATTAGGAAATACTGCGGAGTTCTGACATCCTGGAAGCTTGCTGCCCTCTACTGACAGTGCCAGGATATCTACAAATGTCATGTGCTAAAGCAAATCCTAAAGAGTTACTAATCTGTGCTGATATTACTGACTGTTGAAAGTAACTTCAGTCTTACAGCTTCAAATAATAACCATAAAACATCCTGTGCACGTTATATTCTGACAGAAAGTTGGTGACATGAATGATAAGTGAAAAATCTGAAGAATGTGAACTGATGGCTTACAAAAAAAAGGTGTTACCGTCAACATACTTTTCAGGTTACAGATGGTGCCACCTTCATAAATATTATTTATTTGTCCTTTATCATTTCGCAACATAAAAACAGAAACTAATCATGCTAACACAGAGTGATGCAGATGTTTGATGTCATAGTGCAAAAAAACAAAACAAAAAAAAGCAATCCTTTTACAACAGTTTTTGCTTATGATGTCTTAGATTAAAAGGAGAAAAAAAAAAGAAAAAGAATTAAACCACAACTAACCAACCATCTCAAACCACTATGCTTTAGGCTGTTCAAATATATTATCTTAATTAAAAAAGGGTAAACATGAGAGTATTTAAACATTTTAGTGGTCAGCAAGGAGGTTCAGAAGGATCTCCATGTGCTAAATTTTATGTGGTCTGGTTCCTCATTTATTTATTTTTCCAGTTTTCTCACTGGTAAATAAGTTGCTGTAGCATCACTGAACAGTGACTGAATCATGATTATAAAAGCAGAAAGTTTGTTACTATAATCTAGAATTTTTCAATGTCAAGGCTTATACTGAATAAGAAACGTATTTTATTTAGTTATGTGAGGAAAAATATAGATATCAAATCATTTACCAACTTTGTCTTACTCTAAATCTATAAAGAGCAATTTCTCCCTTCTGTCATAGCTGATCTACCAATATAAAATATTTAGAAGTAATCAGCAGTCCATTTGTTTCAAGAATGAGTCATTTAAATCATAAAACACACCCCCTGATTCCATGATTCAGAAAGTTTTTGAGAACAGTTCAACTGGTCCATTTTTTAAAAATCTAATCTGAGGGCGTCTTCCTTCAACTGTTTTTGCATTCCTATTTGTTGACACTGAGTATCCTGCCTGGCTCAAAAATGTCACGCCCAGATAACAAAAAGCACTAATAACAAGATCTGGGGCAACAAGGTGATGGGAACTACAGATACTCTCTACTTGAGTTTAGGATTCTTATAGGAAGTGCACACAACTAAACACAGCAGTAACTCTTATGGTGAAGAGTCATGTTTTGTTGGACCCAAATTCAGGCAAACAAAAAGCAACAGATTAAACAGATTTACTGAGCAAAAAGGTGGGAAGTGGCATTGAAACCAAGTAAAATGAAATCAGAAGGACACAGAGCAGTTGTGGAAAAGCGTAAAATCCACCATAAAGCAAACATCTCTAATTTGTAGTAAAATACCAGCAGGACTGAGGCCTCCAAACATGCTAACCCCCTGCGCCACCACAGCACACCCCCTGATGAACTTTTTAAAGCTTAGAAGTCACTTCATACGATAGATGAACAAAAACAATTGGTGGAGCAAATCTAAACATGGACTGGGATGGCTCACCTAAGCAGGAGTCAGTGACAGGATTTAGGTGAGCAATCAGAATGCCTCCTGTTTCTTTGTGAACATATTGATGTGGAGTGTTGACATGTGACCTGCACAAAGCAGCCAACAGTAGCTGAATGTTTTGTAAAGCTCACCAACACTGAAGCCTTTGCCCTTTTTTAATCACCGTTTAGTGTTGATTCAAACTAAAGTCGTTGGACAAAGGTGTCACAGCGACTTTTACATGTGACCATAATCGAACACACCTAGTTCAAACAATGTGAATTGGATTTCACAGAAACCTGTAAATGACCAATTTATTTCTTTCATATATTGTTTTAGAGAGGAAAAAAAGTGAAAACTTTAGGATGTCAACCTGCAAGGACCAGATATGAGGACGGTTAATTTAACATGCATGTTTTTTGTAAGTAAGAAGATGGATAGATAAAACCAAGGAAGAGAGATAACAACTAAATTTCTCAAAGAAAGGCCAAGCTAAAATATAAACTCAGGATCAGGTTATCTCTGACAGAAACCCAAAACTGTGACACAGTACACATTTAAACCATCTCAAAGCTTTACTTCTATTACTACTGAGTGCAGACTTTGATGCTATCTATCACTCTATCCTCCTCAGGAGATTTTCTTCCATTAGTGCTATTACAACATCCCCAGCCCATTTTAACTCGTATCTCTCAGGGTTCAACCAACTCAAGTTGATAGAATCACAACATTCCCTTGACATAATTTTCCATAAATTTAACATCCATTTTCATTCTGTTGTCAAAGACGCTCAGTTTACCTCTACAGAAAACCTAACTTCACCCTCCCACCCTCATCTCTTACCAATTGCTTATCAGAATTAAAATTCTGGTTCATCTCAAACTTCCTTATATTGAATGATGAAAAAAATAAAATAAAATTCTCCTTATCGGCACAAAACCTGGGTTTGATATCTACGGTTGACTGTTGCTACTAAAGACAGAGCAGTTGTTACTGAATCAGATGTTATTTCATTTAAATTTATGAGAGAGAAATACATTTTTTCAGCTGAAATAATTGAAATGAATATGCTTTTTTTTTTACTTTATTTCCATTGATTGATGATTGCAAGCAATTAAATGAACGTTACAAACCACATGTTTATGCATCCGCAATAATTTATTACTTAAATGTAACGTAAAGGCTCATATTCCTCACATAAGCTATTTGACCATTTTTATACACAGAAATCAATAAATAACTTGATTATACAGTTTAAAATCTCAGGATAAATTCAGCAATATTCTCTAAATAAGATTATGATGTGAGGAGTGAGAATCACATTAAACGTATGAATAAGAAAATTGAATCAACAAAACCATTATGACCGACATGAGACTGACTTTGTTCAGAAAGGCAGAGGAGGCAGAACTAGATACTGTTGTTCTGGTAGTTGGAGTGGCTGTGGTAGTTGAAGTGGTAGTTGGAGTGGCTGTGGTAGTTGAAGTGGTAGTTGGAGCGACTGTGGTAGTTGAAGTGGTAGTTGGAGCGGCTGTGGTAGTTGAAGTGGTAGTTGGAGTGGCTGTGGTAGTTGAAGTGGTAGTTGGAGCGACTGTGGTAGTTGAAGTGGTAGTTGGAGCGGCTGTGGTAGTTGAAGTGGTAGTTGGAGTGGCTGTGGTAGTTGAAGTGGTAGTTGGAGCGGCTGTGGTAGTTGAAGTGGTAGTTGGAGCGGCTGTGGTAGTTGAAGTGGTAGTTGGAGTGGCTGTGGTAGTTGAAGTGGTAGTTGGAGGGGCTGTGGTAGTTGAAGTGGTAGTTGGAGTGGCTGTGGTAGTTGAAGTGGTAGTTGGAGTGGCTGTGGTAGTTGAAGTGGTAGTTGGAGTGGCTGTGGTAGTTGAAGTGGTAGTTGGAGCAGTTGTGGTAGTTGAAGTGGTAGTTGGAGCGGCTGTGGTAGTTGAAGTGGTAGTTGGAGTGGCTGTGGTAGTTGAAGTGGTAGTTGGAGTGGCTGTGGTAGTTGAAGTGGTAGTTGGAGCAGTTGTGGTAGTTGAAGTGGTAGTTGGAGCGGCTGTGGTAGTTGAAGTGGTAGTTGGAGCGGCTGTGGTAGTTGAAGTGGTAGTTGGAGCGGCTGTGGTAGTTGAAGTGGTAGTTGGTGCGGTTGCCGGTTCTACGGTGGTTGTGCTCTGTGCTGCAGCTAAGGCTAAGCAATTTTGAAAATGTATATATATTTTCTTATTTCTCTCATTTAAAATACTTTAATTGGGTGAAAAGTAGTTTTTCTTACCAGAAAACAGGAGCAGAATCATGCAAGTCCTTGGAATCATTGTGGTATTTATGATTTTCTCTGGTATCTAGGGGAAATAAAAGTAATGAGCATCAAAATATAATTTTTATTTCCACTGTGAATAACAAAGTTAGTCTAATTGCAAATTTATGTATTTTAAAGGTGTTGAAAGCTATCAAAATCAAGCCTTCGTTGTGATTAATATCAAAACTAATCGAAAGAAAAACTTTAATATCAAGTAAAATTTTTTCTTTGTTTCTATTGGAAATCATTTTCACAGATTAACTGTTAAAAAAGTTAACAATTAATCTGTTAACTTCTTTGCTTGAAATTTAATTGCAATGAAATAGAAGATAACCAAGAGACATGTTAAGTACATAAAAAAAAACTACATACTACTATGAATAAAAAACAGGACATTTTCAGAGATATTAGTTGGTTTACGATACTCACAAGCGATCTCTTCTTCTGAACTTGTTCTTCACCAATGACTGGTTTTCTAATATTTTAACTCTTCTTTTATAGTCAGAAAAAAAAACAAGATTACATGAGGATACTCCCAAGGTGTAGCTCTGATCTACTGATGGTCAAGGTGTGGCAACACGTTTTTTTAGGCTTCCATACATCATTATACCCATGTGAGAGTATAATGACGTGTAAAAAATGCCAACCTGAAACTACAAATCTAAACCCACTGAAACCATTCATAGACATGGAAAAACATCATTTGAATGTCATTGTAAGATCTTGAAGAGCATTTTTAAAGCCAGCTATTCAGATGAGAAAAGCTATTTGTGAAGATGTTCTGTTGATATGTGAATAATCTCTTATACTTTTACCCAATGCGGGTAAAAGTATGAAGTGGTGTGTAAATTCGAGCAAGTTTAGGTTCCACCTGATTGTATTGTAGTCATTTGTTCTGCATTTACAATTAAGTCTGTGAAAAACTGAATGAGTAAAAAGACAAAGGCCAAATGTAAATGTTGCTGGCTCTATTATTTACTTATTTGACAATCCGGAACAACCCTTTAAAAAAATAAAGAAAGATGTTTTATTTCATATATATTTTTGTGTAGTTCACTGTAAGAAGGATTTTAAAGCCCCCATCCTGCCCCTGGCCTACAGGTTGTGCGTTATGGCCCTGCGTTTGGGGTCAGAGTGCACAGAGCTCCTCCTGCGGTTCCACAATTCAGATGTTTGTCTGTTTGTGACACTTAGCTGAATATTGATAATCATAATGGCGTTTAGTTGCACAACTTTACGGACTCGTTCATTCGCGGCTGTTTTGACGTTTATTGCGCTGTTCATATTAGATGTTCGCAATTTTCCGCGTAGGGCGATGTAATTCCCAGGTAATAAATTAACTTGACATTAACACAGGCGCAGCGGGAAATGAGGGAGAGGGAGAGTCTGACTGAAACTACTTTAAAGACGGACAAATTCTGGGATTTATGACGAGTTTCTGCTTATTTCCAAGCCCAAATGCGCAACACCACAGTCTAAATACGAGCCCCAAAACGCGCAATTTTGCAAGCGACTTAAAAAAAGAAGAAGCCCAAAGCCGCTTATAATAAATGAACTTGGCAACAGAAACTCTAAATGGTTCCTGTTTTTCCACCAACAAAATGCGCATCTCCCTCCATTGTTTGCATTTCTGTCGCTGATGATGCTGCCGCGATGACGCGACAAGACGCGCACATGAAATACAATTAAATTGCAAAGCAGATAGTAACGCACAGTAACGCAAAGTGATTTCGATAAGTAACTGTAGTCTGACTAATGGATTTGAAATAGCAATGCGTTATATTACTCTTAAATGTGGTCCGACGTCAGTAGCGCTTTACTGACATCACTGGAAATGACAGCAGGGTGTCAAGAGTATTAAGGATGTTGTAATGTGTTGTCATTAGGACTTGACATTCAACACATCAAGTCCAACTGTGTTAAACAATCGGCAAACCTGAGCTATGTCAGAATTGTAATCTGTGCAATTTGAACAATGGCAGTGCTTCCAAATATTTGATTAAGATTTACAGTCGCTTTGTTCAGCTAAACACTTCTCTCTTTGCAGTGGAGGTTGTTTCAACTTCCATCAAGATTCTTAGCATGGAACTGGATCAATACACCACAAACACTAGTGATTTGGTAAAATTTAATATCTCAACACAGTCCAGGCCTCCAGGAAGCAACATTTCTCAACAGCAGAGAGTCCAGACCCTCTATGACGCAAAGTGTAGTACAAGAGACTGGTTTATACTGTACAGATAAGATGACACAACAAGTACTCTTGAGATATAATTTTACTTATTAAAAATATTGTTGCAATGTGTCTCATTTGTACATGCTTAGAATTTCTGGAACTTGGATGGATGGATGGATGGATGGATGGATGGATGGATGGATGGATGGATGGATGGATGGATGGATGGATGGATGGATGGATGGATGGATGGATGGATGGATGGATGGATGGATGGATGGATGGATGGATGATGGATGGATGGATGGATGGATGGATGGATGGATGGATGGATGGATGGATACCTTCTAGACTGCCATTTTGTATGAGGTTTTGTGTTCAGTAACCATGATCAACATCAAGACTTTACCATAGAAGATAAACCTGTGATTAATTTGTCCTTGACGTCAGCGTTCTTTTAATTTTAGGTTTACCTTTTTCGATAGTATGGATACAATACAAGGTGTGTTATTATCACACCTTGTCGAGAATAATGTTAGCTACATGGGTGTGTCTGCAGGAACTCTGTCAACATTATGCGAGACTTTCTTTTAGTTAAATTTAGATGCTGCAAAGAGATTTATGCTTCACACTGGGAAACATTTACGACACTATGCCATGATAATTGACAACATGAATTTCAAACCTTAAAAAATCCCTCAACAAACTTATTATATTGTGTATGTAATGTTCTGATTGTCCCAAAAGGGTAAAAACGAACAATTGTAGCCAGCTACTATTCCTGACAAACATTTTAACAAAGTTAAAAGGATGTAATTACAGCCAAATTGAAGCATGTCCACAATTTATGATATAATTCTTGAAGCAAATTAAAATCATTACAGAACTCAAAGCCTTATTATAATCGCTGACTAGGCTTTATTTCTTTGGCACTTGGACAATTTATTGTTGGCGATGAGCTCTAAGTCATTGATGGAGTGCTTTACTCCTATAACTCTAATATTTACTCAAAATGAGTCTGCTGTGTTTGTTTGATGTATGTGTAGAATACAGAACTAATTCAGCATTTGTTAGAAAAGCATCAGGTGTATGTTCTTCAAAGTACACCCTTGAAATATTTAATATTTATTTATGACAATTTGGTCTAACTACTATAGCAAAGTCATTTTATACTGAAATATATTTGATGAAATTTATTTGCATTTAACTTCTGTGTCTGTGGCTTAAATAAATTGGCTGTGTTGAGGCAGGAAATGTGTGAGTTTTAACATCTGAGGACAGACAATTTTACTGGTCTTAATAAAAGGTCATTAACTTCTTTAATACTTTTAAATGTCCAATTTTCTGACTTCCACAGGAGCATTCATGATGTGTTATAAAATAATCTTTTGGGGAACTGAATTGTGATAAATGTAGTAGTACATCAATGTTGAAAATGTTTTTAAGAAAATAATATATGATTGGTAAACTTTGAAACTGTTGTCTACAACCGCAACCATAAATATGTGGCCTAAGCCTCTTTTTTATTTCTATATCTACCATGTTTTTTACTTCAAATTCAACAATTTTAAACAACGATCTTGTTCTGAATTACTTCAGTAGTTTTTGGCTTGTTGCACAGGGTTTCCATTATGTGTTTTCATAATGGAAAACACACAATCATCCGGCTGAAGTTTTTCATTTAGGTCATTGGTTTTTCCTGTTTCACCGTCACTGCTGTGACATAAACTATCACATGTCTCAAGGAGTCTTAAGGACAGGGTGTTCACAATCTATCCTAAAGCAAGATAAAAAGAAAACCATTCATGTATGGAGAAATCATTAATTACATGATCAATTAAACATTCAGTCAATCCATTTTCTAGACTTAATTGTGATTTGATCAAATGAAAAACAAAATTTTGCAACAAACAGACCTGCAAAAAATTTCTAACTGTCTTGTGCTCTTTTCCTGTGAGACATTACATTTCCCAAGTTGAACATAATATCAAAACAGTAAAACAGGGATAGAAAGTGTTGTATCATGCTTATTTGCTGTGATAATATGCAAATAATATTGTTTTTATAAATAGTAGTTTTAAAAAATATTTAAGGAGTGGTACTATGCTACTGTGCATAGGATTAAAAACAAGCATACTCAAACAGACTGTTAAATTTACTTTAATTCTTTATTGTTATGAAACCTTTATCTGAAACAATCAACTGTGAATTTACAAACCAGTCACCTCTGTACAACTCACAATTAGTGCAAAATCTCATGTTGCAATAACATTATTAAAAATAAATACTTAAAATAACACTTTTTCCAAAAATATAGACAAACACTGGAATCAACTGACCTTCTTGATGCCACATTTTCCTAAAATAAATACTAACTTTGCCTTCTATGAGGATTAATTGGTATGATTAATTTTGATCTTTATTAGAGTTTCGAGCAAAGTTTTAAATCGTAACTTACTCTTCTAAATTAACAAAGCAGAAGGTTAATGTCAAACATGGTGGGCAAATGAAAAAAAATATTCTGGAATTGTTCGATATATATTAGGACGACATTCAAACTAGAATAAAGTGCAACATAGAAAATTCAAAAATTTAATAAATACAAATAAATATGAATAAATAAAGAGTAATTGTTTTGTGCAAACTGAAGTCTCATTTCAAAAGCAAAAGTGTAATCACTGAAGTGAGCAAAAGAAAACTTGCTTCATGACTACAAGCTGTGGAGGCTGTTGTTGGGGCAATAGTGGTTGTTGTTGAGGCAGCAGTGTTTGCTGCAGCAGCTGTGGTTGTTGTTGTGGCTGTGGTAGTTGTTGCAGCAGCAGTGACTGTTGTAGCAGCAGTAGTGGTTGTTGTTGCAGCTGTGGTTGTTGCGGCTGTGGTTGTTGTTGCGGGTGTGGTAGTTGTTGCGGGTGTGGTAGTTGTTGAGGCAGCAGTGGTTGTTGCAGCAGCTGTGGTTGTTGCAGCAGCTGTGATTGTTATTGGGGCAGCAGTGCTGGTTGCAGCAGCAGTGGTTGTTGTTGCGGCTGTGGTAGTTGTTGCAGGAGCAGTGGTTGTTGTAGCAGCTGTGGTTGTTGCAGCAGCTGTGGTTGTTGCAGCAGTGGTTGATGCAGCACCAGTGGTTGTTGCAGCAGCAGTGGTTGTTGTTGGGGCAGCAGTGGTTGTTGCAGCAGCTGTGGTTGTTGCAGCAGCTGTGGTTGTTGGGGCAGCAGAGGTTGTTGTAGCAGATGTGGTTGTTGTTGGGGCAACAGTGGTTGTTGGAGCTGTGGTTGTTGTTTGGGCAGCTGTAGTTGTTGAAGCAGCTGTGGTTGTTGTTGGAGCAACAGTGGTTGTTGCAGCTGTGGTTGTTGTTGGGGCAGCAGAGGTTGTTGCAGCAGCTGTGGTTGTTGTTGGGGAAACAGTGGTTGTTGTTGGGGCACCAGAGGTTGTTGT